CCTGGGGTCCGGAGGGCCCGCGGGCGCCGGGGAAGCCGGGAGCGCCAGCGATGCCAGGAGCACCCTGGAAGAGGCAGAGGAGGAGGTGAGGAAGTAGCACGGCCCCTCATCCCAGAGCCAGGTGGGGGGTGAGGGACACTCACAGTTGCACCCTTGGCACCAGGTTGACCATCAGCACCGGGGTTGCCCTGAGGAGAGAAAGAGGAGGAGGAGGGTTATGCCGGGGCCAGCAGAATGTGAGGCCGAAGGGCAAGGAGCCATCGAATGCCACTTACAGCAGGACCAGCAGCACCAGCAGGGCCGGGGGGACCGGGCTCACCACGGGCACCTTGGGGACCTTCGCTGCCACGAGCACCCTGGGGACCGGTTTCACCCTGGGGAGGAAGAGGAGGGAGGAAGAGCCGTGAGCACGAGGGCTGCCCCGAAACCCCCGACATGGCTGATGTCCCCCTCCATCCACAGCTCCTTTTCCACGGAGGCAAAGCCAGGAGAGACGCCCACGTGTCTTGGCTGGGGACGTCCCCACCTGCCCCACTGTCCCAGGCAGCAGCGAGCCCACAGCACCTCAGGACTTCTCATTTCTGGGCCACGTGAAGAACCCAGCCAATGCTCGGTCCCTCCTTCCCACCACCCCGCGCTCCCAGTTTCCACCAGTTTCTCCCAGCCTGGGAGATGCCACCTGGCAGGAGATGGTCGGGCAGGTCCTACCTTAGCACCAGCAGCACCGGGGAAGCCGGGGGGACCAGCGGGACCGGTTGGACCCTAAATGGGGGGAGAGGGCACGCGTCAGAGGAAGGATCCCACCTCATCCATCGGGCACCGAGGAGTTTTCCGGGCAGCAGAGCTCTGGCCCCCGGCCAGGGTTTCCCAGCCGTGGTGGAGCCGGGAGGGGATCTCCCTCCGGAGAAGCCGGAGCTGACGCCGGGCGCTGGTTGGGGAGTGGGTTTTGGGGGTTACTTACGGGAGGACCGGCAGCACCGGGAGCACCGTCGTTACCGCGAGCACCCTGCGGGAGAGGAGGCACCCCTTAGCGATGCCCACCGGCAGGGGGGGGGGGGCCCCCCCCCCCCCAGCAGGGGATGCTCAGCCCTGCCCGAACCAGACACTCACAGCGGGGCCAGAAGGACCGGGACGGCCTCTCTCGCCGGGAAGCCCACGAGGACCCTGCGGAAGGGACAAGACAAGTTTTCGTCACCAAGAGAGCCACTTTACCCCTCCTTGGACCTCCTCCCATCCCCGTGCCCCCCTGCTCCTGCCCATAGCGACCTTTCCAGGGGGTTAAGCCCCTTCCTCGACCCAGTCCCCAGGGCATCCCTGGGGAAGCATCCCCCAGGACGAGCTGTTTCCCCAGCAGGTCTCGCTCCCGGTCCCCGTCCCCGTTTGCTGGCCGAGGACCCCCAGCCCTGGGGACTCCAGCACTCACCATCTGCCCAGGAGCACCGTTCTCCCCGGGGCTGCCGGGCTCGCCCTAGGAGAAAGGACAACATTGAGGGACCTGCTCTGGAGCGAGGGACCAGCGGTGACTTTCCCGGGGTGATGTTGTCACCGCTCCTCACCTTGGGGCCAGCAGGACCAGGCTCACCCTTGGCACCATCCAGACCACTGAAACCCTGGGGAGTTGGAGAGAGAAGAGGGGGGGTCAGGAGGGGACCCCTTGCCGATGTTGGGCTCCC